GCAGACAGGCTTGTGGTGTTACCGGCTCTGGCTGCTGCTTGGAGCCCCAAAACTTTACCCGGACAGCGTGGGGAGCCGGGTGAGTAGGAGAGGAAGGAGAGAGAGCTGGGATGGGGGGCAGCCGTGATCACCTGAGCCCCTTGGAACCACTCCAGGTGGGCAACAAACGGGACACAATGCCCCGCTGGCCCCACCTCACCATACGGTCAGTGGTGTCCAGGAGAGTGGGGGGCAGTGAGTCAGTGGTGCCCAGGGAGCAGTGGAAACAGTCCACAGGGGCCCCACGTGCACCCCACCAAGCCCTCACGACAGTGCTGTGTCCCGGGAAAGGGACCACCAGGACAGGCTCGAGTGAGGGCCAGGGACCAGGAAAAGGTGGGCGGGACTGCTGGGGTGGCACCCAGGCTGAGCTGAGCAAGGGATGCCCCCTGACCCTCAGAGGGGACCCAAGTGAGTAGGCACACTGCAGCAACCTTGGCGCCCAGCAGACGCCTTGGCCTGCCCCACCCAGGGTGGCTCTGAGGACCCGCCTGCCAAGAAGGTCACTCCAGGCCTGGACCCTGAGGCCGAGCCTGAGCACCGGGCAAACCAGGCACCGCACAGCCTGGCCGCAGCAGCCTCTCCAGTACCTTCTGACTGGCCTGCGATCCAAACTTCGTGGCCTGAGGGAGAACAGAGACAGGCTGTGCACACGGCTCCCCCACCGCCCCCTGCTTCCACCAGCCCCCAGACCCCAATCAGGTCCTCCCAGCCACCAGGTGGCAAGCCACCCAATCCTGCCTGTGAGGACAACAGCCACCCCTCCACCCCCATGACTCCCTTTCTTTGAGCTGGCAGTCGGGGGAGGACACAGTGGGGAGGGGGCCTGAGGAAAAGGACTCAACGTGAAGGGATCCCCCAGTGGGGAGAGGTCCCCAGCAGGGAGGAGCTCATAGGGGTCTACCCCACTGGCTCCCATCTGTGCTGCCTCCTCAGTCCCGAGTGGTACAATAAAGGAGAGAACAGGAAACCTGGCCTGGACATCCTCCCAAAGGGCTGCCCTGCCTACCCCCACCTCGCTGCACCCAGAGCCCCAAGAGGACTCTGCACAGTGATTCTCGGGGCTCAGGTGGCCGATTACACCCTCGTGGTCACCAGGTTGACCCAACCAGGCCTCATGGTGGTCTCTTGCAAAGTGACCCCCTGGCCCTCTGCCCCGTGGGCTGGGGTCACTCACGCCCTCCTTGGCCGCAGAGGCGAACCTGCTCGCTCCAGTGGTGAAACTGCTCCAGCCCTGAGAGAGGGAGACAGGGGGGATGGAGGGAGATGGAGGGGGAGTCAGAGGGAAAGAGAGGTCCTAAGCCACCCTGTGGCACAGGGAGGGCACAAAGCCCCCCACAGGGTATGTCCCCTGACAAGCTCCACCTCAGAGTGACCTTACCTGGCTCACGCCCCACCCTCCCTGGGGAAGACAGTATTCGTAAAACTTCCAGTTCTTAGAAAAAACTACCTTGTGAGATTTAAAACATGCTCCGGCAACCACAGTATGTAAGTGAGCTGACCCCTCTGGGACCTAAACTTCAGGGTCCTGCCCATGTGGGGATGGGCAGAGGGGCCTCAGGTGACATGGTGGGTACGGGCGGAACCCCTCACCGAGCACAGGGACGACATGGCATGGTTGAGGAAGTCCTCATCCCTCCGGGGGGGTGCCGCAGTATTCCCGAAGCCCACGTAGCGGTTCTCCTGGGCCCTGCGAACACGTGCGACCACCTGCTGAGTTGAGGCCACAGCGCCAAGGGCAGAGCCTGCCGTCTGGTCCCGGCCCTCCTCAAACACAGGTGGGCCTGGGGGCTGCTCCATCAGAGCTGCTCAGAGCAGCGTGCCCAATGCCCAGCGCTGTGTCCCCATGCGAGGTCGTGCCCACCCGAGCGCAGGTCTCACCCCTGGTAGGCTCCCAGGTCATCGTTCAGCCAGTCCTCAAAGGCCTTGTCAGAGGAGGCGGTCACACTCTGGGGCTGGCTAGCCGCTCTGAAACAAGAGGGGAGGTCTGCGTGGCCCATGGCCTCCTCCAGGGGCCCCAGGACACAGCACAGAGCTCACCCACCATGGGAGCCCACCCAGCAGGAAGCGGGCGGCCTACAGCCATGTACCCCGCACAGCCACGGAGACCACAGGGCGAGGCAGGCGCAGTCCACAGACCGAAAACAGCTGTATCACCACCCCGAATGCCGACAGGTGCCCAGGCTGCCAACAAGGCTCGCGGTGCAATCCTGTCCCCACCCATGGTGGCTGTGTGACCGCCGTAGCCTTGGCTGTCCCGAGCGCCCCTGAAAGCCCCCTCAGGGCCGAGGCTACGTGTTCACAGCTGTGAGCCAGGCAGCTTCCCTACGCTGTGCCCGCCCCCCCGCCCCCCACAAGACGAGGGACGCACAGCAGGGCTCTGCCCTGAGCTGGGAACAGCTGGCAGTAGCTACCGGTGGGCAGACGGCAGTGGTGTCTTGGGCTGTGGAGGGGTCCAGGACTGGGCAGGCGATGACTCCAGGGACCACTCTTTGCCTTCAGCCAGTGTAGCCACCTGAGAGGAGAGAGGACAGAGACATCAGAAGAGAGGACCACTGTCCTGAAGCCCCACACCCGGAGTTCCCGAGGCAAAAATGCTCAGCCCCACATGGGAAATGTCCTCCCACCTGTGGCTGCTGCAGACGCATCCTCAGCCGGCCCTCCCGAGGCACCTCCGCCCTCTGACCCCCAGCCGCCCCTCCCCAGGGGCAGCTCACGCGGTCCCTGAAGAGCGCTGCGGCCTTGCTGTTGTACTTCTCCTGCAGCGACCAGCAGGGGTCGTAGTCCTCCTGGGACTCCAGGAACTCTCGGAATCTGGCATTCCCGCCGGCCTTCATCTTCTCCAGCTCCAGGTCTTTCCACTTGTCCATGGTCACCGAGCGCACAAAGCTGGGAATGGCGCCGGGAGGGTCAGGTATGAGGAGGGGGAACATGCTGCGAGGGCCAGGTACGGGAGGGGGGAGGAGCACGTCGTGGGAGTCAAGTGTGTCTGGGGGAAGATGAGCAAGCCATGGGAGCCCAAGGGCCCCCCACCCCATAGAGGGGTCCAGGGGCTTAGCGTGCAGCAGGGGACATGGTGGGCTGCCCGAGCTGGGTCCTGGCCCCCAGGAGACACCATGCCCATCGGCCAGGCTGGGCTGGGGTGGCGGCCAGGCGCTGCGCCCACAGACTGACCTGAGGTGCACGCCCAGGCCGCGGTGCTTGCCCGAGCACTCCAGGCAGATCCAGATGCCGTAGGTCACGCTCACCCACTGGGGGCTGAATGAGCCACACTCAAAGCACACCTGCAGCAGGGACACGGGCGCGGCTCAGCAGGGTGGCTGGCCACCCAGGAGCCCAGAGCCACAAGGCGCAGACACAGACAGGGAGGTCCCAGGTGGAGGTGTCCTGACAGGCAACCGACCGGCAGGGACCACAGCCCCAGAGCAAGTGCAGCAAACAGGAAGCTTCCGGAACTGCACAGGACCCGAGACACTTGCTGCCCCACCCCCTGCCCCGAGGTACCAGCTCCTGAAGAGGCCAGCAGCTCTGCCCTGCTCACTCGTTCAGTCCAGTCCGGCCCCCCAGAGGTCCCGCTCCACCCTCCCACCCGGCCCCCAGCAAGGGCAGTACTCACGTTGTTCTCATCCTGCACCCTGACCTCCTTCAGGACCTTCCTCGTCCTGGGACTGGCCATGTCGCTGCCGAGGAGAACCGAGGGTCTTCATCTGACAGTGAGGGCAGTGCCCTCCCCCAGGGGCCTGGGACCCATGGGGCTGCAGCTTCTGCACCACTCTGCTTCCCTGGCCCCCCAGTGGCCATCACAGCATGCCTGCTTGGGCCCACAACACCCCATGTCCTCCTCAGAAACGCAGGGGCTCTGAGAGGTGGCTGGAAGCCAAGTGTTTCCTTTCTCCAGAGATCTCTGGCTTAGGGAGCGTCAATGCCAGGGGACGACCAGATGGAGGAAATGACCTAGCCCTGTGGGGCAGAGGGGGCAGGGCGCCCGCTACTGTCCCACCCTGGCACTGCAAAAAGGCCCCCTTCCACCAGCCCCAGCTGACTCTGGGTTCTGCTGCGGACGAGAACAGTCAGGGCCTCAGGCTTGGGTGTGGGGTGTGGAAGGACGGCCCTGCAGCTCTGGTGCCCACCCCCACTAGGTCACAATGAAATCGAACAGGCCAAGCCACCAAGCCTGTGGTGAGGGTGCTGGGGTAGACCACAGCCTCCTGGGTGTGGATTCTGGGAGACCAGGGTGGCAGGTGGCTGAGCGGGACAAGGCCCCAGGGTAGAGGCCCCACACAGCCAAGCAGAAACTCAGCGTCCACTAAAGGTTGGGTCCTCGGCTTGGACAGCACTCAGGTCCCCAGGGCGTGACACGGGTGATGGGCACAAACTGACCCCTGTGAGAGCTGGGCCTGACATGGCCACACTGACTCCTTTCGTGGGAGATGCTGGGGTTCAGGCGGGAGCCTTACAGGGGCACACCAATAGCGAGAACAACGTGCCCTCGTGCTGAGGCAGAGGGTGACAGACTCAAGCAGAGGCGAGGGCACAGCAGGGCCAAAGGCAAACTTGGGGTCACTGTGAGCTGCTCTGGGCTGATCCCGCGGGGCTAGTGGCAACCCCATGGGTACCCAGCAGATCTGCCCAGACGGTTTTCTGGGGAGTCACCGCTCAGTCTGTGGTTCAAACCTGCCAGCCGCTCCTCGGGTGAAAGCTAAAGCTGTCTACTTCCATAAGGACTCGCTGCCTGGGGCCCTGCGGGATTCTTTCTCAGAATAGGGGTGGCTTATGGGACGGCCCAGAAAACCCACACGGATTGAGAAAAGCCCCTCACCTCGTCGGTTCCCCACCGCCCCTGGACAGCCATGGGGTCACAGGGCAAGGACACGCAGGGAGCCCGATCCCCCTGGGCCACTGGCAGAAGGCCCTGTGGGGGGCTCCAGGCTGACCGCCTATGGCCCCTGACCAGCAGGAAGAGTTTGCTGGGCAAGGGCAAGGCCGGCCCAGGGGGTGTGGGTGACCTGGAACCCTGGCCCTGGTGGAGGAGCTCGGGGCTTGCAGGGAGGGGGGCAGGTTTGGGGGGACGGGGCGGCCGGGAGGAAGGGTCCCCGCGGGCGGCCAGAGAGCCCGCGTCCGTCCCGCCGAGCGCGCGCTTACCGGGGCAAAGGGCGCCGGGGCCGGGCCGGTCGTGCCGGGGTCGGTCGAGCCGGGCCGCTGGGCTGCACCAAAGCTGCGCGCTCCCCACCGACCCGGCCGCCACCAACTTCCGGCTACGTCGCGCTTTCGCAAAGGCTCACGGGAAACCGGAGGCGGCGGGGGCGGGACTTCCCGCCGTTCCCATGGAGACGCGCATCCTCCGCCTGCCGGGCCCGCTTCCTGCGGGGCCGGGCCGGGCCCGGGTGGGCGAGCGAGCGGGCGGGCGAGGTGGGTCCTCGCTCTGCAACCTTTCCCCAGCCGACCACCACCCCAAACCCCGACGAGGCAGCTGCTACCAGCCCTTCTTCGCCTGGCGCGGCCCGCCGGGACATCCGTGGGCAGGCTGGAGCGAATGCTCACCCCAGGATCGTCCGGCCCATTCGTATCCAAGGGCACTGCTAATTGCAAAAGTGGGGGTGGGAAGGAGACCTGTTTTGGGGTACAAAGGAGACCCCCATCCCAAATATATTCTAAGCCTTAAAAGAGGCAAAGACAGCCCAGAGCCGCAGACACACGGGGCTCCTGAGGGAGGCTATCAGCACGAGGTCAGCATGGATTCTCCAGGGTTCAAGTCCGGATGCTAGTTACACAAGGCGTGGGACAAAGGGAACCGTCCCAAAGTCATGACCGGGCGGATCACCGCATCCCTCTTAGAGGTGGCACTGCGGGCGCAGGACGATTGGGACAGTCCCTTGTCAGATAGAAGGTCTTATAAGATTGCTGCAGGACCACGATTGAGGCAGTTGGGCATCACTGACAGGGCATGACTCTTGACTGTGTCACACTGTCCAGCATGCACCCGGGCAAGCCCCCAAGAGAGGCTGCCCCTCCCTGAGCTGGCCAGAGAGGGTGGAGGAGGTAACTTATTTTCCAAGGCACGCTGCCTGAGGGTAGGATTTCTACAGCCTTGGGTAATATTCACAGGAGCGCAGTCTAACTCGAGGGGACCACACATGGATTTGGGGCTATTCCAGCCTCTGTCTCCTTCAGCAAAGGGGGGCATACAGAATTTAAGCTCTGACACAAACCTCAGGGAATTCGGCAGCAGGACAAAGGGAGAGAGAAGTTATCCGAAACCCGGACGCAGAGCCTATGGCTCTGAGGGGCTATGGAGTTTGGTTGAGGGATGACATCACAGGCAGAAGCCACAGGAAAACTGGGCCTCTCTCTCCTCCCGCCCTCTGGCTGAGGCCAATGGTAAGCCTGTGGCCAGGGGTGGCCACAGGTGCTGGCCAAGGCGATTGCACAACAGGGTCTCAAACGTGTGGACTGATGACTGTTGGAAGACCCATTGGTCACCTCTCGAGGATGTACTGCTAGCCGCCTGTGACTTGGCTTTTACTTCCTACCTCCCTGGGTAGCCCGAGCTTTCTTCATGGATCTATGATTACATGTAACATTGTGTGGGCCTACACGTTGCATACAGCTAAATGTGTCCTGAACTTCATATATGTCTTTGTGTGGGCACAGTTTCCTTCTCCTACAAAATAGCTGGGTGGTGGGCTAGGTGTGTGTGTAGCCTTAAGAGGAAGTGCCAAGCAGTCACCAGAGCAGCTGTACCATTTTGCACTTCCACCCGCTGCATGGGGCTTCCACTTGCTCCTCAGCTCCGTCAACACTTGGTCTTGTCTGTCCCTTTCACTTTGGCCAGTCTTGTCGTTGATGTTGTCTTATGCCGCTGAGTCGATCGCAACTGCTCTGTGGGGCTTTCTTGGCCGGAACCTGCTGGAAGCAGCTTGACAGGCCTTTTCTGTGTTCAGAGCCACTGGGCAGACTGAATGGCCAGCCTTTAACCAAGCACATCCATGCAGTCTGGCGGGTAGCCAAATGTGGATTAGCATTTCCCCCATCGTTGAAGGATAGCGGTGGTGGGTGCTCTAACTTACAGGCACTTCTGGCCTGGCCTGCCCAGTCCTGACTCAGGACACACAGGTGGAGGTCCCCCACCCTGCACCCAGAGGACTGGAGAGGAGGGTATCAATTCTTGCAGCAGGAGGCAATTAGCATGCACAGGTGGGGGGCTGGGGGCGGCATGGAAATACGCCAGTCTAGGAAATACAAGACAGTCTAGGATGCGCAGTGAGGCCCTGCTGGGGGTAGGCGGGTACTGCTGGGTCAGAGCGTGGGGTGTTGGATAAGTCCCTGTGGGCTTCCCGGGGGAGGCCGACTGTGAAGGACAGGAGGAAAGGAAAGAGGAAGCTGCTCCCGCCTGCCACCGAGCGGACCAAACACCAGCAGAGGCAGACTCTCCGTTTCCTGAGCGCACAGTAAAAGAATCCCGGAGCTGCCTCAGTTGCGGGTGGCGGGGAATTTGGGGTGGATAGTGGCCTCGACAGGCCTAACTGTACACTGCACTGTGCCTGGGAGATTGATCCTTGGAAGGCAGGCCGTGCGTCTGCAGGCTTCCTGGACACAAAAGCGGATGTTGCTTCTTCCCTGGCCCTAGGCTCCATCCAGCAGGCCTGGCATGCTCACTGCAGCGTGGTGGCCTTTCCATAGAGTGGGCCAGGCTGCCCCTCACCCCCGGAGCTGCAGCACCCAGAGAGCGTCAGCCCCTCTGTGGGCCAGACTGCTCCACGGAGGCAGGAGAGTGGATGTGGCAGCACATCTCCTGCAAATGGAGAACATTTCATTGCCCACCTTGGATGCTTAGATCACTTGTTTTCTTTCAGAGCCACAGGAATGGAAGGCAATTAATTTCCAGTTCCGCTAACACAAGCATCTTGGTGTTTCCCCCGGGGCCTCGGGAGGCTCTCTGTGTGAACCCCACAGAAGGCCACTAGGGAGCGGGGCAGCAGCACGCCTGGAGCTGGCAGACAAGGGCTCAGGATGAACCTCCTGGCTTAGGTGAGGTTTTGCAGCCACAGGTTTGGAGATGGCTTCTGGAGAGTGCTGGGAAGCAGGTGTCAGGTGTGACGCTGACAGGGGAAACCGAGTCCTGGGGGGAAAGGCCCAGCTCCCTGCCCTGTTTGTTCAGGACGTGCTGCTGCCCTAATGGCCAGTCTAGGAACAGCATCCTCTACATTAGGAGTGTCAAACTGGCAGCCTGCGGGCCATACTCTGAAATAAAATGAAAATAAGAAAATTGTTATGAATATAGCGCTTAGGGGAGATCAAGGCAATACTGCACACACAATTCTCTCATTACATTCTATTTCCCACATTTTATTTGCCCCTTTGTGGGACATCCAGTCTTGAACGGGAAGGCAGTTTCTGGATATGGCTGCTCCCCACCTAAGGGGCCCAGGCACCCACATATCTTTACTCGGTCACGGTCACTGCCCCATAGCGGGGGCTGGATGGGGGGGGGACTGGAGGCTCGTGTGACCGTGCTGTACAAAAGGGGGAGCCTAGGTTCAGCCCACCCACTCTGCTGCCAGCCCAGGGACTGGGCCACCATGAACCCCCGCCCCAGCTCCCACCCTGACATGCTGCTCTGGACCCAGCTGAGCTGCTGGGTGGGCGCTGATGTAGACACAGATACCCCAGGGGCAGGAGTGTGGCCATAAAGGCTTATTGAGGACAGTGGGCAAGCCCACTTGGATACTGGTGGTTCCTGTCCAGACTGGGCCTCAAGTAAAACTGCCGTCACGCTGGCTCCAGGCAGCCAGTTGGTTCTCGCTCTGGTCATCCTTTGCCTGCCTCTGTCTATGCCACAAGGCAGGCATGGCCACTGTCGGGCATGAGTCGCCCGTCCTCCTCCCAGCAAAGTTTCCTGCAAATGCAGAGTCTCCGTGCTCCCTGAGCAGAGGGACCTTTGTTGGTGTGGGAGGAAAGGGGGCCAGAACCCTACAGGCAGGGCAGTGACCGGGGGTCTGGCTAAGAGGGACGAGGCCAGGGATACAGGGAAAGATATCACAGTGTGGGACAGAGCCTCCAGCCAGCAACAAGTCTTCTGGGACTTCAGTAGCCCGGCTATGTGCAGGTGGGGCCCGTGGGCAGCATTGGCATGGTGGCCTGTCTTCCAGGAGAGGGTGTTGGCTCTCTGTGGTGAAGACCATGTGCCTGGTCACTGGCCCGTGGAATGCCACAGGTATCCTTCATGGGACTCCCTTCAGGAGACGGTCCCCCAGTCTGTGGCTGTGAGGGCAACAGCCAGGCCTCAGGCCAGGCATGGACTCCTGGGGCCTCCCAACGGCGTTGAGGAAGCAGGAGGGCCCTGCTTCGAAGAGCAGGCTCTAACTGTCCTCCTGCCCCCCAGTACGTGGTGTGAGGGGCTGTCTGGCTCTCCTGGAACATCTTCATCACCTGTTTCTACCTGGAAGTGGGGGGGCCTCTTCAAGGTGAGCCGGGGACACCTTGTTCAGGAGCCTCACCCAGGTGGGATGTGCGGGGGAAGGGTGTTCACTCGTCCCTCCCTCATCCCAGGACAGTGAGCTCCTGACCTTCAACTTCTCCCTGCACTGCTCCTGGTGGCGTGAGCATGGGCCGGGCTGTCTGCGCAAGGAGATACCAGCCTCCAGCCTCAGGTCCCCAGACGCCCAGGCCCTGATGTTGGGCGCTGGCTGCCCCCTGGGACACGGCTATTCAGAGGCCCTGCACAGCATCCTGCAGGCCCTGGTGGAAGTGAGCGTGGGTGGGGTGGCCCTGTGGGAGGGTCTCTTCCTACATGAGGTCAGGCCCACTGACTGCCCCCCCCCCCCCAAAGGTGAAGCCAGGGCAGGGCCCCGGCTGTGCTGTGCGTTTCAGCACACACACACCCCACCCCACCCCACCCCCTGCCCAGCCAGGTCCTGGCACTGGGCCACGTTGTGCCCCAGCTTCCCCGTGGCCCTGCCCTGTGCCTCTGGTGGCCCACCAACCACTAAGGAAGGGCCCCAGAGCTCAGCCCCGGCTACCTACTGTGTCTTCCAGCTGGTGGGGTTTGTCCATGCCTGCTACGTGGTCAGCGTGCTCACGGAGGACGAGGACAGCTGTGAGTGAGCCGCCTGCGCCAGGGCTGTGGGGCCGGACCCCAGGACCTTTCTCCCTGCTGCAGTCTGTGGAGGGAAGCAGCACCGCACACCACACAGCAGCAGCAGGTGGAGACTGGGGCACTCGGACCTCAGGTGCCGTCCCAGCCTGGGCTCTGGCAGCATCTCACACTGGTCCCAGTGCTTCCTTCGGCTTTCACTGGGAGGCTACGCATGCCCCAAGGACCCCAGAGTCTGGCCAACCAGGGGTAGGTATGTGGGGCTGGGGGGTCAGACCCAGCCTCCACCCAGCACAGAGCTCTCTCGGGGCTCAGACACAGGCCTTCCTCACATGTGTGCCCAAGAGTCAGGCCGCCGTGGGCTAGATGGTCCTTGAACACAGATGATCTCCCGCATCCAGGAGCCCCTTCTTGTGCCCACCCTGCCGGACACATGGCGGTTGGGAGGAGAGTGGGTGGGCTTCGCGTGTTAATCTCAGTTAATCTACCCTCATTTTTGAGGGTAGAAATTAACTAAACATACGTAGCTCCACTGGTCACCCACCACTCCGCCCATCCAGCCTCCCTCCCTCCAGCACACCCAGCCACGGCCCCCTGGAGAACAGCCCCCCCTGTTCTTGGAACGGCAGCTGCTGTCCTGGCTCCACCACGTGTCAGGGGCCCGCCCCTCCCGTTGCACCACACGCATCAGATACTGCCTGCTGTGGGGAGCCCCTCAGACAGGTGCAGCGCAGGGGGCCTGGTCAGGGTCGGCTGCTGTCCGTCCCCCAAACCTCACCCCACTTCGCCGCTGCACCCGCCCGGCGTCACCGCCCCATCGTGTCCACTGTCCGGGTTTCTTTCTGGTGATTTCATTGGTGGATTCGACCCATTTCCTCTACCATGTTCATGAAAAACCTCCCCACCTCTTGTTCAAGCAGGCGGACCTGTTAAGTATGGCCAGCAGGCTCTGCTGCCGGGTGCCCTCCTGGGAGCCTCCACCAGGCGCCATTTGTCTCTCTCTCCAACCGTCCATCCATCCGCCCACCCACCCTTTCCCTGCCAGGCCAGGCTCTGGGCTGGGTGCAGGGGACATGTGCTATGTGGAGCCGGGCAAGCTTGTGGGCAGCCGGCTAGGCAAGGCCTCACTGACCTGCTTGGAGCAAAGGGTCAGAATGTCCCCAGGAGTCAGGGCCTGTGACCGCCGGGCTCCCTGCGGCCTCAGTCCTTAGGGCCAGGCTTCTTTCCCCAAAGGCGGCCAGGCCTCAGAGAGGACAGGAGGCCCCTCCTGCTACGGATGAGGAAGCAGGCCTCAAGGGGGACAGCCTGGCCAGTGGCACTAGCCAGGCACCTCGGCAGGAGCCTTGACTGCACAGGGCCTCTGGGTCCTCTCCTGTTGCGGCAGGGCCTGGGTGCAGGAGCTCCGGGAGAGGTCCCAGCCTGCTGACCGGGGCCCACTTGCCAATGGCCAGCAGACCCTCTCTGTGCCTTGAGCTGTCAGGAAAAGGGGCAAGCAGATGCCCACAGTGGCTGCCCCCTGCCCCCACCTTGCCCCCTCCACAGGCCGACATAAGCAAGGAAGCATCTGAGCTCCGGGCGGGGTGGGGTTAGGGCCCTCCAGTCTCCCAGATACCACCCCCCAGCCTCAGGGGCTTCTGCCGCTCACGCCAGGGAACCTGCTGCCCTGAGACTTGGCCAGCCTGGAGGATGTCAGCAGAGCAGAGCAGGACCAGTGGCTACAACTGTGAGGAAATGTCCATCAAAAAGACAGGATCGAAAAGAGCAAGTATGGCACTGGGCCTCACTGTCCCCCTCAATCCCCTCCTGTGGGGCCCTGGCAAGATGCACCCATGTAGGTGAGCACCTGGCTGGGGCCCAAGACTGGCCCATGAAGCATGGGCTCCCTGTGGCCGGGTGAAATAAGATCTAGTGAAATCGTGCACCCAGGGCCCATGGCTCACAGGCCCCTCGAGCAGTCACCCAAAGGCAGGCATTCATCCGGGGCACTGGGCTGGCTGGGCCCTCTCATTCCAGGAGGGAATGCTGGAAGTGGCAGCCAGATGGTGGCCAGAGCCGAGGTGGGGTTGCCCTGGGTGCTGCCCCTTGCCGGTGCCGAGAACAGGACTGCAGGAGCCACCAGGAAGTGTCTACTTTATTCACAAGATCAGGTGCCCTCACATCACAATATCCGAACTAAGAATGATAAACTGCCTGCCTGCCCACCCCGCTCCACAGCTGTCCAGGAATCAAGGCTGCTCACAGCAGACCCCCCTGAAGCTGGAACTCACACCATCCCAACACCCCAGGACAAGGCCCCAGGCACCTACTGAGCCTCAACAGCCAGGCAGAGGCAGGACCTCCTTAGGGAGAGGGCAGAGAGGTGTCAAGGACAACAGCAAGGAAGGTCCCCCCCTCCCCACTCTAGAAATGTGCAGGCAGGCTGCCCCAGTAAGATGCTCCTGCCTGGCTGGCCCTGTGAGGTCAGCATGGGGAGTCAGTTGAGCATGGGCAGGGGTGCTGGCGGGCAGCATTCGGGCATCAGGGATTAGGACTCAACCGGCAAAGCCGCTCTGGAGCTGGGACTGCTGCCTGCAGGAACATCCTGGGCCAGGCTGGGGGGCTAGAGGAGACAGGCCCTGGGCCCCCGACCTAGGTCAGGAAGGTGCGGACACAGCTGTTGATGGACGCCCGGCAGATGGGGCACAGGTGCAGGTGGGGGGCACAGGGGGCACAGACCAGGTGACCACAGGGCACCAGGACAACGCCCACTGGGTGATCCAGGCATACCTTGCAGCTCCGCTCCTCCCCCAGCCTCTGCAGCTCCTCAGTGTTCTGGGCACCTGCAGGGGACCCCTCAGTGCTGGGCCCAGGCCCCAGCTGTTAAGGCATAGCCCGCCCACTGCAGCCTGCCTCCCAGGTCCCACCCACACCTGAGTCCTCGTAGCCCTGGCGGTTGGCGTCGCTCCTCAGTATGGCCATGTCAAGGTCCCCTTGGACAGGAGCTGTGGGCAGTGTGCAAGCATCAGGCCCCCGGGTGCCCCAGGGCAGTACAGCTGCCTGACCTACCCTGCTCAAACCCAACCCCCCTCCCCACAGCACTGCAGATCCCAGGTCACCTGACTGTGCCCACAGGCCTCCTGGAAGGCCAGGCACACTGCCCACCCAGCCTCTCTGTGGGCATGCAGGACAGCTGTCCCTGTCCTCCCAGCCATGCAGCCCTGGGCCCCTGCTGTCTACCACGTGTGCCCCGACCCAGCGTCTGAAACAGGTGGACACGACACGGGGGCTCACCGGAGCGGGCGGCGTTTCCTGGTGGATCCTGGGAGAAACCAGAGAACATTCATGCCAACTCAGGGGCAGGGGTGTCGCTGACCACCCTGCCCCGGCTTGGGTATGAGGCCTGCACACGGCGCACGAAGGCCCGTCCTCTGGACCGCAGCAGGTACTCACACCTGAGGGAAGCAAGTTAGAGCCCCCAGGCTGTGGGCTTGGCTGTTAGACTCCCACCCCACCCCTGGGAACCAGCCTCCGCAGGGCCTGCGGAGGGAGGAAGGACAGGCCCCAGGGCTGGGCACTGTATTGGAAAGAACACACTCATCATCTGGGCAAACAGCAGTGGGAGGGCGCCCCCACCCCACCCCCTGCCCCAGCCCGTAGAGGGGAGGGAGAGGGGGGAAGGGCTGGGAAATGAAACTGGGCAGCTGAGGGGCAAGAGGAAGGGGAGGGGAGGGGGCCGGCCAGATGGAGCCCTTACCTGGGGAACCACTTGGCGTGCTCTGTCCAGGGGTCATCCCCACGCTCCCAGCTCTGCAGACCCCCACAGCAGAAGAAGCACCTCACCTTGTCCTGTGGTCCTGGAGTGGGCAGAGATGTTGGCCCATTGACCCTTCAGGGAGGAGTGGGCCCACTGGCCAGGGTCCAGGCACAGAGCCACTGTCCCTCTGTCCCCAGCACCTCTAACAAAGCAGCCTGCCCAGCTAAGCTAGAAAGCTCTGGAAGCCAAGGGAGCCTGGGGCAGGGAATGTGGCCGGGGGGAGGAGCCTAGGAGATGGGGAGGAGCACTTGGGAGAAGGGGAGAGCATTCGGGTCTCCCCCACAACACCCCAAGAAGGACCCTGGTGAGAGCAAAGAGCAGCCCGGGTGTGGCTGGCAGAGCCCCTGGCTGCTGCGACGAAGACCCCTTCCTTTGGGGTAGGGGGCCCACATTCCTCCATTGCCCTGTAGACACCCATCTTCTAGCGCACAGACTGCAGACTGGGGACGGCATGGGTACCTTCCAGAGGGACTCCCTGAGCTCCCTCCCTACTCTGGCTGGTGTACACCCACCTTTGGCCTTCACTGTCCCCAAGACCCTCCCCCGCACTTGGACAGAGCCCTCTCCGGCTCTGTCCTTCTGTGGGCCAGGCTCAGGCAGAGGGGCGGGAGGGGAGTGGGGGGATCCCCTCCTATCCTTTCCCTCATGGGCCCACAAGGAGCCTAGAGACACAGAGCAGGCCCAGAGGTGTCCAGCAGCAGGAAGGACACAGGTCAAGCATGTCACCTCAGTACAGAGCAGCCCTCCTTCCTCCTGGAGACCCCAGTGCCCCTTTCCGTGGCCCCCAGCCCAGCCCCCGTGAACTGCTGACCCTGCAGAGCTGGCTGGAGGCCAGTAGGCCAGCACAGGCCAAGGGGCTAGGGAGGGGCTGCAGGTGCCAGACCCCCTCCTCCCTCCCTGCTGTAGGCGATGGGCCATTGCCCCAGGGCCCTCCACTCACCCGTGTGGAAGAAGCCTGCCTTGGCCAGCCGGGTGGGGTGGACCAGAGAGGCCAGTGGCCAGTGGTGGAAGGAGGCCAGGCGCAACTCCTGGGAGCCCATGCTGGGGAAGGCAGCGCCCAGGAGGTAGGCAGCCTCTTCCTCTTCTTCCTCCTTCTCCTCCTCCGCAGTCAGGGAGCACAACTGGCCCAGGATCTGCCCATCCACACTGTCCCAGCTCAGGCCTTGGGGGCGCCCAGCATGGGGCGTGTGGTGTCCCTGCAAGGGGCTCAGCCCAGGGGCTTGGCAACCACACTGACCCTTGTCCTCGGGCGCCATGGGGAGCACACCAGCCCCACACAAACAGCTCTCTAGTGTGTCCAGCCAGCCCAGCCCAGGGCTCCAGAGCCCCTCCCAAGGCTCTCTGTCAGTCTCCACCCCCTGCAGCTGGGAGAGGGCGGGTACCAGCAACCTGTGCACCAGAGGCCCCAGGTCAGGCAGAGCCCTCTGGGTCGGGAGAGCAGCAGAGGCCCGATGCAGCCTTCTGGGTGGGCCCAGGGTGGCAGCCGGCATCATTCAGAGGTGGTGCATCCCCCCCAGGGTCCCCAGCAGGAAGCAGCCTCTCCGGGTATGGGGACAGGAAGACCCCTCCTGGGGCTGGGTGGCCTCCTTGACCCCAGAGGAAGGCAGGCGGGTGGGGAAGGGCAGCAGGCCACAGGACCGCTGTCGGAAGGTCCTCAGGTCTCGGGCCAGGCCCCAGGCACAGTCCCTGCAAACAGAGGCACCTTGGTGTCCGGTGCTGGGGGCCTCCTGGGGAGTTGGAACCAGCGCCTCACTCATGGGCGGGCCAGGCAGCAAGGGCGTAGGTGTGCAGGGGGCAGGGTTACCGGGGTCTGCGGCTCCGGCTCCAAGAGCTGCAAGCCTGCCCCTTCCCCACTGGGAAGCCAGGGTTCCACCCCAGGCTGAGCAGACCCAAAGATAGGACAGGTGGATGGACGGGGCCTTTTCCCCTCCAGAGGGCCTGGGCACAGAGGGAGCCCCAGCCTGAGCCCACAGTCCATCACCTGCCTGCCCTCTCAGCTTCCTTCAATCCACACTGACCCCAGACGATGGAGCCACTACACTCCCACCACCCTCGGGGTCCCTATGGGGAGCTCTGGTCCTGGGGTGCCTGGCTATGGGACCAAATTTGCTGCAGGCCCAAGTCCAAGCTGCCCCTCCTCCACCATCTCCATGATAGGCCACGGGCTCTGAGCACCAAGGGGTGAGGGAGGGGTCCTGAAACCCCTGGAGCCGGAGCCCAGTGGGGGGGGGGGGGTCGCCGGGGTGTGTGTGTGTGTGTGTCAAGACTGCACAGAGGAAGTCATGTGTGGGTGGGAGCAGCCTCCCCCCCACCCCATCAGCCCCTTCCCAAAACCCCCATGCCCCAGTCCAGAAGGTCAACTACCCCAGGCACTTGCCCTCCCACCTGGGGCTCCGGGTAACACCTAGAATAAACCAGCCCCTGTGGCCCCAGAGACACGGTTATATAGCCAGGGGCGGAGAAGGTTAATGCTCAGCCCCTGGGGCAGAGGGACCTGCAAGCTCAGCAGCCGCCAGGACCAGCAGCAGGAGTGGCCACTAGCCCAGCGGAGGCCGAGATCACAGGAGGACCCCGTCTAACCCTCACTCACCTCTGATCACCCAGCTGCCTACTGCGGCTTCCTTCCACCTATATAGCTGCCTCCCCCAGCGCCCTCTGTGGCTGTCTGCACCTGTGCCCGCATAGCCACGTGCCCCCAATGTCCGCCC